TTTTCAATTTAGCCACGGGTAGCCCAGTAATAAGAATCTTATTTATACCTCTTACCTTGCGGAAGTTTGGTTTCTTATCTCTTTTCAAAACTGAAATTCAAAATCTAATGCTCTGGTTTGAACTCCAAAAACAATTCCCGGCGCTTCAATTTCGTGACAGTAACACTCGAGATTGTGCACGGGAATAATAGGTCAATGTCCCGCTGTGTTGATATTAATTTTACCCAATTTATTCACTAGGTTTTGCTGCGAGTAAATGCACCAATTGATTATCTTTATATTCCCTGCCGTGTGCCGTTGTGTACAAAATTCTATTACCCGCACAGTACTTTTAACTTGCCGTTACTATTAGCAATCAGAAAAAAAGGAAATTGTATGTTTATCACAATGAGTTTCAAGCTCAGTTTATTTAATCCCGTTTTTTATTTGAAAACCGGTTCTCTGACTCGAACAAATTCCTTCGCGTACATTTTAACACTCGTAAATAAAAAGACTTTGCTACGAATCAGGCTACTAAAAAGTTTTTCCTCGTCCCGCAATCCATTGCATTGTTTCTATAGTTCGGCGCCATTTACTTTTAGGTCAATCATCATAAAACAAAGAATTGATACGCGGATACTTCCCTTGGCTCATTGGATCTTAGATATACTCATAGTATACCGTTGGCGAATACCTGCTATGACAGAAACAGGTACAATTACACCTAAAAGTTACTTTTGACTTTTCGAAATGATTGTTGAATACGCAAATTTACTATTCCTAACAAGTCAATTTTGTTATTGTAACACTTTCGCGGACAACTGCACCACAAAAAGTAATTTTTACTTCTTACTTCAGGTGGTATTTTAATTTTACTCATGTATTCAAGATTTATTAGGCATTCTCTTATAAATTCTAAATAATTTTCTTTCAAACCGCAAGAATAGACGCTATGCGTCGGTATAAAGAAGTTAACCAACTTTATAATATCGTTCCACAGAATGGTTGCAATCGTCCATTTCGACCTTTCGTATATGTAGTTCTCTCAAAATGGTATTCACATTCTCGTCTATCGTTGGATGATAGTGCTCATTTGGTGTTACTTGCTCCATTTCCCAAAATGTCTTTATCGTATTATCCACGAAATGTAATGTATATTACCAGATACGTAATTCGATTTATTACTAAACATTCCATCGATGCCTTGTACTTTGAACACAAGAAGTGCACCTTTCGCTTAAGTAAATTGTTTATCTTTAGACAAATTATTTTCCGTTTGGATTAACTTTATAATTTGTTTGCTAATCTGTTTGACATTGTAACTGCAAATTAGTGTAGGTACCAATGTTTGCGTTTACCTGTTGAAATCTCGGGGCTAATACATGGACTTATTTGTTGCACTGCAATCATATTTAGCTACTGTTATGTTTTAAGCAATTTCTCCAGAAATGATTAGTTAGAATAAAACGAATCTAGATATCAGTATACGGCATTATGGGAAATATTCATTACATTTCAGTTAATTCGTAAAAACATGTTGAAAACTTTCCATATATCGATTATCATGGTAATATTTTGTTAAAAATTACACATTTTTAAAAATGTTTGAATGGCTGTATTATAGCAGGAATATTTAATTTTGTAAAGACTTTCAGATGCTTGTTAATGCGTTATCTTTTAACATTATTTTATAGACGTTTTGTAAGTTACGCAGAGCCTCAAAGTGAAATCTTTTTTCATTTTTTAATATTTGAGGTTATGCGTTGACTCACTCTGATGATAATTATTTCAATAACCGTGCTGTACTTTCCAGAACCATTTAGAAAATTCTGCTGTGCTTTCCACTTTCACACAAGTGTGACGGAAAGAGCGGTGAATCTTTTTGAAACCGTGACTTGTGAGAAAACATCTTACAGTGCAAGAATAGCACTAGAATTCCGAATAAAGTCATACATTTCTCAGAAAAATTGAAAATTGGTGAGAATATTTGTATAATTTCGTAAAAAACCCAAGTTACGAAATAAAAGCTTTAACCAAGAAAAACCACTTGCATTCTCCAAAAAAATCATTAAACTATATTATCCAAATTAAATTTCAGAGGGTTTAAGAAAGAACCCATAAAATGATAAAAGCTCCCTGAAAAATCGGAATTGTAATGAAACCTTCATTTTCATGCCCACTTTGTTTTCATGACAGTACCACTATTCCTGATTACAGGACCTCCTGTCACTTTACTAGACTCCTGTGAAAACTGACACGGTAATATTAATCAATAGTTCTGTATGATTAAAAATTTTATATTAAAAAGACGATTTCGGGAAAAATGTAGTACAAAATTCCTCAGTAAGAGATGATACTACTTCACTCGGATATTAAAGTACTCGGTCCCAAAGGGGCCTCGTACTTCAGTATTTCCTCGCCAATCATTTTATTTTCCTACATGCAAAACCTCCGAAACATTCTGGGGGTAAGAGAAAATCAGGATTCCTCACAAAAATATTACACACACTCAAAACTTTTACGGTTACTAGAAACACAGTTTTCAAGAAAAACATTCCGACAAATATCGGAATTTAACAAAAAGTTATGTTTTACTTACCTAGCTAGCTGTTTAGAAGGATGATTATGTTACCATATAATCAATCCTTTATATATTTTCCTGATTGATTTGCTGGTGATAATAAACTGTAATAATTATTATCAAAAAAAAATTCTGGGAAAAATATTACAAGACGTTCTGATTCAACTAATTCCAGGAAACCATCTGGAATTCTAAAAAAAGGTGCCCAAATATCAAGAAAATATCTTAAACTTCTGATAAAGATTTTAGAATTCTCAAAAACATCAAACATTTTAGTAAGAATTTTGAACAACTCCGAAGTTTCTAGACAAGAACTAGAACTAGAATTTAATAAATGATTTAGCCATAGTAATGATTCTGTTTTTTGTCAATCTTCGGTTTTATCTGCAGAGTCGGGAGTCTTCATATTTGCGTAATTGAAGTAAGCTGATTATCTTGATAGGAACTCATCTGAAGAACAATACATAAAGTGTAACGGTCACGATTCGGGTATAGATTTCCCCAAGTTCCGGCAAAATTAGTAGGTAACCATTTTGGTGATTTTTTGATAATTATTTTGTATGCGTTTGTGGCTTATTGCTTATTACTGTTGCTTTTATGGCAATTTTTCCACTCTTTGTGGGGAGACACGTTTGTATGTACTGTAACGTGATTTATAAATTCGGGTTCGATTTATATCAATATTTATTAAACAAAACTAAAACACTATAAAAACCGTACAATTTATATCGATTATTTATATCACACACTTCGAAATTTATATCAGCTTTTCGCGCTCTATGTTTCGTTCGCACTCGATCTCGTTCGATAGTAGACTGCCGCGATGTTCGGTCCGCAACCATTTATACACGCAAGCAATGTAAGTCCAGTACATTCTAGAATATTCCTACACAAAATCACTATCGCGCGTAGAAAATTCCAGAGCGCCAAAGGCGACGTCATGTCTGGAGCATTTCCGTTACA